GGGGAGACGGGATGTGAAAGGACAGCCAGGAACGGGGGTTATGGGGGCATCCTTCATATTGGGACCAACGGGGAAGACGAACCCTAAGGCCTTGGGTACTAGGGGAGCTGCCACCAGTTGGGGAAAGAGTCAAAGAGGCAGAGACACCTACAATCATTGAAGGCAAAGTCCAAGGGAGATTCAGAGACAGATCTGGGGCACAGGCACCCCACAGAGAGAAGCAGAAACCTAGGAGACAGGGACAGAGCCCCGGAGCGAAGGGGGCAGAAACCCAGAGTGAAAGGGACAGAGGCCCTGAGGAAGACAGAGATGTAGAGGAGGGACAGAGGCCCCAGAGGGAGATTCGAAGAAAGGGAGACAAAGACAGTGAGGAAGGAGAAACTAAATCTACAAAAGATGGGGGTCAAAGACCCATAAGAAGTACAGGCACCCAGAGAAGGGGGCTGGGCGGGAAGACCCGAGAAGAAGACAGAGACCCAGAGAAGATGGCAGGTAAAGAGTCAAGAGACGGGGGCACGCCAGGCGCCATGGCTCACGCCTGTAATCCCAGCACTTTTTCGTGACGGGCAGATCACGAGGTCAGGAGATCGAGACCATCCTGGTTAACACGGTGAAACCCCGTCTCTACTAAAAATAAAAAAAATTAGCTGGGCAAGGTGGTGGGCGCCTGTAGTCCCAGCTACTTGGGAGGCTGAGGCAGGAGAATGGCGTGAACCCGGGAGGCGGAGCTTGCAGTGAGCTGAGATCTCACCCCTGCACTCCAGCCTGGGCGACAGAGCGAGACTCTGTCTCCAAAAAACCGAGACTTCTTCCTAGCATAACCTGCCAGGGCCTACCTGATCTGACTCTTCTGTACTTCTCAGAGTTTAAATCCTGTCTTTTTTTTTTTTTTTTTTTTTGACAGGGTCTTGCTCTGTTGCCCAGGCTGGAGTGCAGTGGTTCGATCTTGGCTCACTGCAACTTCTGCCTCCCAGGTTCAACTGATTCTCCTGCCTCAGCTTCCCAAGTAGCTGGGACCACAGGCATATGCCACCATGCTCAGCTACTTTTCATATTTTTAATAGAGATGGGGTTTCACCATGTTGGCCAGGCTGGTCTCAAACTCCTGACCTCAAGTGATCCGCCCGCCTCAGCCTTTCAAAAAGCTGAAATTACAGGCATGAGCCACCGCGACTGGCCCTGCCACTGCTTCTCATACAGGCCTTTTATTTCTCAGAACACCTCAAACCTCTTTCCTACCACATGGCCTTGGCATTTGCAGCTCCCTCTGCCTGGAATGCTGGTGGCTTGGCCGTTCACCTGCCTGGCTACTTGGGAGGCCGAGGCAGTAGAATCGCTTGAACCCGGGAGGTGTAGGTTGCAGTGAGCCAAGATCGTGCACTCCAGCCTGGGCGACAGAGTAAGACTGTCTCAAAAACAAACAAAAACAAATGAAAAAAAAATCCAAAACCGTTATTTATTTTATTTTATTTTATTTTATTTTTTTCTGAGACGGAGTCTCGCTCTGTCGCCCAGGCTGGAGTGCAGTGGCCGGATCTCAGCTCACTGCAAGCTCTGCCTCCTGGGTTCACACCATTCTCCTGGCTCAGCCTCCGGAGTAGCCGGGACTACAGGCGCCCGCCACCACACCCGGCTAATTTTTTGTATTTTTATTAGAGACACGGTTTCACCATGTTAGCCAGGATGGTCTCGATCTCCTGACCTCCTGATCCTCCGGCCTCGGTCTCCCAAAGTGCTGGGATTACAGGCGTGAGACACTGCGCCCGGCACAAAACCTTGATTTGAACTCACACAGAAGAAAGGGTTACACCGCAAGACTGAGGATTCTTGGGGAGGGAGTTTCTGCCACCACCACTTGCTTCCCTACCCCAACCCGTCCCGTCACGGGGTCAGGGGTGCAGGTGCCACTGACCGATGCAGGATGAGCAAGAGGCAGATGAGGCCAACGGCAAAGGCCCAGCACAGGTAGGTGACCGCCAGGCGTGGGCGGGGCGGGTAGAAGCCATAGAAGAGAGGGGACCATTCCAGGTAACCCTGTGGGGGGAAGGCGGCGCGGGGGCCACTGTGGGAGGAGGCGGGGCTCCTGAAGCTGCACAGTCAGAGTCTGGGGTCAGGGTTTGAGGTTCATGTCATTGAAGGCACTGGGCTCACAGGTGGGCAGGGGAAACTCCCAGGGCCCCAGGCACCTACTTCTCCTGAGAGCAAGTTGAAGAGCTGGGTGGCAAAGGTGACCAGGCCCTGAGGGTGGGGGTTATAGGAGCCGCAGGGCGAGGAGGTGTTGGAGCCAGGAGGGCCTGGGGGAGCGCCTCCCAGCCAGGTGGGCAGCAGCGTCATGCAGGCCATAAGCACAGAGGCCAGCACGTTGAGGAGGAGCAGGAAGCGCAGCAGGGAGAAGTAGGACTCGGTGCCGGCGCCAAACTGGCCTGCAGGGGGCAGCAGAGAGAGGCTCAGGTTCCTTCCCGGGAGCAGGACCAGCTCCTCCCATCCCGGCACTGGGGGCCCAGCCGTGCCTTGCTTTCTTTCTATTATTATTATTATTATTGTTATTGTTATTGTTATTGTTATTGTTATTGTTATTTTTGAGACGGAGTCTCGCTCTGCCGCCCAGGCCGGAGTGCAGTGGCGCGATCTCGAATCACTGCAACATTCGCCTCCTGGGTTCAAGCAATTCTCCTAGCTCAGCCTCCCCAGTAGCTGGGACTACAGGCACGCGCCACCATGCTCAGTTTTTGCGTTTTTAGTAGAGACGGGGTTTCACCATGTTGGTCAGGCTGGCCTCGAACTCCTAATCTCAGGTGATCCACCCACCTCGGCCTCCCAAACTGTTGGGATTACAGACCTGAGCCGCTGCGCCCGGCCCAGCCGTGCCTTTCTCAGACCCAAGAGTGCAGGCCCCCAGCCCCTCCTCCCTCAGACCCAGATCCCAGTCCCTTCTCCCTCAGATCCGGGAGTCCAGAGCCCAGCCCCTCCTCCCTCAGAACCCAAAATCCAGGCCCAAGCCCCTCCTCCCTCAGACCCAGAAGTCTGTCCCCAGCCCCTCCTCCCTCAGACCCAGGAGTCCAGGCCCTGCCCCCAGGACATCACCCGAACCCCACCGCACCCCCGATCCTCTTCAGTGTCCATGACCAGGGCTGCAGGCTTTGCAAGCCTTCCTTTGTTTTCTCCTTGGACCTCCGAAGTAGTCGCGCCCATTGGTCCGTCCTAGTTCCAGAGCCATAGATCACCTGGTCCCTGGCATTTCTTTGCCTGGGAGGGAAAGAGGTAGAAAATGAGGGGTTTTGCAGCCCCAGACTGGGAACCATCCGAATGTAGAAACAACCCAAAAGTAGAACGGAGAAGTAACTTGTGGCCTATACATAAGATAGAATACTCTGTGGCAATAAAAAACAAACCAATTGAGTGCGGTGGCTCACGCCTGTAATCCCAGCACTTTGGGAGGCCAAGGTAGGTGGATCATCTGAGGTCCGGGGTTCGAGACCAGCCTGACCAACATGGTGAAATCCTGCCTCTACTAAAAATACAAAAAAAAAAAAATTTAGCTGGGCCTGGTGGTGGGCGCCTGTAATCCCAGCTACTGGGGAGGCTGAGGCAGGAGAATCGCTTGAACCTGGGAGACAGAGGTTGCAGTGAGCTAAGATGGCACCATTGCACTCCAGCCTGGGTGACAGAATGAGATTCCTTCTCAGAAAAAAGAAAGAAAGAAGGAAGCCTAATGCTAGGCAGAAGAAAACAGCACAGAAGACTGAAGCCTGCATGATTCTATTTGTACAAAGTTGCAGAGCACAGAGCTGGCAAAGCTACACAGAAAAGCGGGAGGCTGGAGTGGGAGAATCGCTTGAGCCCAGGTGTTGGAGGCTGCAGTGAGCTGAGATCACACAACTGCACTCCAGCCTGGGCATCACAGCGAGACTCTGTCTCAAAAAAAAAAAAAAAAGGTTGGGGGAGAAGGTTACAATCTCCTCGTGAGGAGAAAGGGGGTATCAGGGGAGGGACGCACAGGGTGCTGTCATGCTGTATCGCTTGCCCTAGCTGGAGTTTATCTGGGCTTTCACTTTATAAATACAGTTGTCCCTCAGTATCCATGGGGGTTGGTTCAAGGACTCCCCAAGGATACTGAAATCTGTAATATCCAAATTCTGTATATAAAATGGCATAGTATTTGCATACAGGCTACACATATCCTTCTGTGGTTTTTTCCATTTTATTTTATTTTTTATCTGATTTTTCAGAGACAGCGTCTCGTTTTGGTGTCCAGGCTGGAGTGCAGTGGTGCAATCATAGCTCAATGCAGCCTCAAATTTCCAGGCTCCAGCAATTCTCCCGCCTCAGTCTCCCCAAGTGCTGGGGCTACAGGTGTGGGCCCCTACACCCAGCGCTCCAATGCACTTTCAATCACCTCTAGATTACTTACAATACCTCATACAAGATAAATGTTAGATAGATAGCTGTTCTTTTAATTTGTATTTTTTTGTCATATTGTTACTTTATTACTTTTTTTTCTTTTCTTTTTTTTTTTTTTTTTTTTTGAGACGGAGTCTCGCTCTGTCACCCAGGCTGGAGTGCAGTAGCGCGATCTCGGCTCACTGCAAGCTCCGCCTCCCATGTTCACACCATTCTCCTGCCTCAGCCTCCTGAGTAGCTGGCACGACAGGCGCCCGCCACCTCGCCCGGCTAACTTTTTTGTATTTTTCAGTAGAGACGGGGTTTCACCGTGTTAGCCAGGATGGTCTCAATTCCTGACCTTGTGATCTGCCTGCCTCGGCCTCCCAAAGTGCTGGGATTACAGGCATGAGCCACTGCACCTGGCCTGATTATTACTTTTAATAAGATACAGATGGGGTCTCGATAGGTTGCTCAGGCTGGAGTATAGTGGCTATATTTACAGGCACGATCCCGCCACTGATCAGCAGGGGAGTGGTGATATATTGTTTTTTATTGTTTTTTCCATATATATACTATATATATATTTATATTTGAGATGGAGTCCCGCTCTATCACCCAGGCTGGAGTGCAATGGCACGATCTCGGCTCACTGTGACCTGTATGTCAGTGGTTCAAGCCATTCTCCTGCCTCAGCCTCCTGAGTAGCTGGGATTACAGGCACATGCTACCACATGCAGCTAATTTTTGTATTTTTAGTAGAGTTGGGGTTTCGCCATGTTCGCCAGGCTGGTCTCGAACTCCTGACCTCAGGTGATCCATTCGCCTCGGCCTCCTAAAGTGCTGGGATTACAGGTGTGAGCCACCGCGCTGGGCCCACAATCATTTTTGAAGGAGGGCACCTGCATTTTCATTGTTCACCGGGCCCTGCGAATTATACCGTGAGAATGGGAAAAGAAAGAAGTTAAAGAGAGGGAGGCTTTGAAGAGGAGGCAAAGATGAAGGAAGACATAAAGCAGAGAGAAATAAATATTAACAGATTTTGGACACATGCAGAGAAAAACTGAGAAGCAGAGACAGGATTGGAGGAGACCAGGGAGACGGCGAATCCCAGAGACAGCGAAGAGATCCCAGAGCCACGGAAAGGCAGCACTCACCTGGAGTCCGAAGGAGAGACAAAGACGAGGGGAAAAAAGAAACCAAGAGAGGCAGCTCTGAGCGAGGCAGAGAGAGGCCCCAGAAGCCAGAAGCGGCAGAGGACAGAGGGAGGAGACCTCGTCCAAGGTATGGGAGAAGGGCCCGGTCCAGGCTGTGCAGGTCCCAGCCGGAGGTGGGGCCTCACCTGTGTGCCCGTCTGGCCTGCATGGGCCAGGGCAGTTCCCGGGAAGGGTGAGGGTCCTGCAGCTCCGTCTGGGTGACTTCTGTGAAGGCTTTTCTGCTCCTTCCTCCAGCCTCCTCCTCCTCCTCCTCCGGCACCCCCCAAGGCAGCACCCCAGGGCCTCGGTACCGAAGGGTGGCAGCACTGGGCAGCTCGTTCAGCACAGAGGTCAGCGATGGGCCTGGGGAGGGGCAGGGGGCTGGGAAGACCCGGGAGTCTGGGCCCAAATTCCTCCTCCCTCAGACCAGGAAACCAGGCCTCAGTCCCCTCCTCCCTCAGACCCAGGAGTCCAGGCCCCCGGCCCCTCCTCC